TGCTTTGTGTTTTGATTTGTTGAGTTGGTTAGAGAATTGATTAGAGGCTCCTAATGCTATTTTAAGTAATATGACACTATTATTGAATTGGTAGAGATTATTAAGGTTGCATGTTGAGGGACTTTTTGTTGGCTGTTTGTTGATTAATTCTTTAAAAAAATTGTTGAGTTTTTTTGCTTTTTGACTCAGATATTCGTTGTTTTCATTGTATGTGAAAACATGGGTTTGATCCTCTGTAGGATATTCACATTTAGGATATTTGGTATTTGAGTAAAGTAATAGAAATCATTTATTGAGTTTAGATCTTATGGATAAAGAATTAAGAAGTAGTTTTATTTGAAATGTTACTAAAGTTCTGAATTTTGTTTTATCAGCAGACCAACATTGCTTGTTTACTAATTTGAGTATTTTGAGTTCATAAATAGTTTCGGGCTTGAGAAACATGTTGATACTAAGAGTAGTTGCAATTAGATTACAAAAGTTGTTAATGAATTTGATCCAATGTATGATACTGGTACCTATTTTACTATTGATGCATAGAGATAAATTATAATTATTTATATTGATAGATGAAAGTGGTGAGATTGTACTTTTAGCTGATGACTCAATTGAGTTTTTTTTTTTGAAAACTCTAGTGTGATCTTTTTTGTTTTAGCTAGATTTTGGAAATAATTAATAAAGTGACTATAAGGAACTTTAATCTGTTTGTTTATGTATGAAAAAAGGGGAAACAGTATGTTTATGGGAAGGTGACATTTGATAGTTATATTTGAGTCAGCTGTTTTAATTTGATTTATCAAAATGGTCCAGATTTCATTTGGTGAATTAGAAAGGTTGGAGAATAATGTTCGAGTTGATAATTTTTCCAGGTAGATAAGTTGTGAATGTTGAGTTATAGTTATCTTATTAGGTGCACTTGTCATTTTAGCTTGATCAGGTGAGATAATTATGAAAGGTAGTGAAACAGGTTGTGTCGACAAAAGTTGAGCTTTAATTTCTTCTAAATTATTCAGTAGTTAAAAGGAATTGTTTTTTTTCTTATGCCATAGTAATATCACTTTATTTATAGATTGAAATATTATGCATGGCTGAGAAGGGTAGCGGCATGGTACTATCTGATGTGTGTAGGGTTCAAGTATATGATGACATCCTTTAATAGTTGATGTGTCTCTATTATTTCTATGTGATTTTATGAATTCAAGAGATTGGTCTATTGTGTTGAAGGCCCAAAACAATGGAGTTGGGTTAGGTTTCAGGAGCATACTACCCTTAATGGGTGGAGATATATTGGCTATATTTGAGAACCATATAGATATTAGTTCTGGATTGATCTTTCCTACTTTTGTGTCGAATTTGTTTCATGAATTTTTGACTGTAGAGTTGAAACAAAAGAGTTGTTTGATCAATCTCATATTCTATCTATATAGATAAAGTGCTTTTGTTTTTGGGATGCTAGTATGTAATCCTATCGAGAGATGTGCTTCACCATTCTCAAAAGGGCATTCTGTAGAGCAAATATCGATGTAGTATTTATGTGAGAGTAAGGCTGCTTCAGTGATCCATGAGGATTTGAATAAATGGGGTTTGCATAGGGTGCATTTCCAGATGTCTGAGCTGGCTTGAATTGAGTGGATTTCTTTTTGATAAATGGAAAAGTGATTGGGCTTGCTAAGGTCATGATCAAGAGCTTGATAAGAGTTTGACTTTTGCGATCACTCAATGAAGTGAGATTGAAGCCAGCTTGAGAATAGACCATCTTGTTGATAATGGTACATTCAACACCCAGCATTAATTCAAATATGGAAATTGATCAACAACAACACAATCCTAACTGACAATCCTGAGCAGATGAAACTGAATATTCAATTAATGAACATAATATTAGAACCTCAAATCTCTCTAATTACAATCAAACAATATCCGAAACAGTTGATTTAATTACTAGTACACCTAGAGATCCCAAAGCTCTAGTCAAATTATACATCTAAATCAAAGATCTTTCAACAATTCCACCACCAAAATCACTATCTGCGATCCTCACCAAATTATCATATGGAAACAGATCATTCTTCCGCTCTTTTACCCAAACAAACGTGATTAAAAGAAATCATCAAAAGGAGTATGAAGCTATTGAAAAAGAGTTTCACAACAATTATATGAATAAACACAACATTGGATATATTAATCGAACCATGAAGAAAAAAATTTGAATCATTCTTTATAGATTTATCTTGGCCACATTTCTCAGATCGACCAATCTTTCTCTTCTTCGTCACTGGCAGGTAGCTGAATTACTGGAATTTGACTTTAACTTCTTTATTGATCCTACCATGGAAAAAATTGACTACAAGGAAATCCTGACGCAGACTGAAGAACAAATCCAAAATAAACTTCCGACTCTTACCACAGATCCCTCTGATATACCTTCAAGAATCAAAATAAAACTTGCCCATCCCTTGCCCTTATGTAATCCCAGCCTTACAGATGCTATAGCCAAAGCTCTTAGAAGTTTTTACAATTTCGATCTCCTTCCCAACAACTATTTCAAACAACGTTCTAATTTACCAGAAGATCAAAATAACCTTCCAAGTAAATTACAAGGGGAATTTCCTATTAAAGAGAGATCCAAACTCTAAAATCTAAAAGACCTGATTAAGCCACTTAGAGAATTATACTATGTACCCTCAAAACTTTCAGACTCATACTTTGATCTTCCTTCACCAAAATCTCCACTCCCAGATTCGTATCAACAACTTCTTGAGAATTTAGCAATCATGTTCCCCATCCCAAATGATCCAACACAAATCCGTAATGCAATTACCAACCTAGCTTTGCAGTCCAATTCTTGCCAAATGACTACCTTATCCAAAAACTTCTACTTCCATCACCACACTGGCACAGTGAAAACACCGGTATCTTACTTCCCATCACAAATCAAGAACAAGTTAACATGCTACTCCAACAACTTTTTCATATTACTCTTATTTCCTTCTACTAAACTCAGAATGGATTGACCCATCACTCAAACAGCTCGACTGTTTCCCAATCCCCAATGACTTTTCAGTTATTGAACAAACATTAGGTATCACCAAAGAACTGCTTAATCGAAATAACCTGACTTTTAATGGACATATCAAAAAAATCAAATCATCATTCTATGGTCCAATTCCTAGAGAGTGGATTACTCCCTATCTCTCAGAACTCCCAAGTATTAAATTAACCACTGAAATCCTAAAGGAAAAGAATCTTGAGATGGACCTTCCTATTAAAGACAATGAGGATTTTAATAAAAACTTAACAATTATTAAAAATCTTTTCTACTTCTGCATCCTTCCTGATGAATTTATAGTAGAATCAGAGTTGCCTGATTCCAAAGCAGCTCTTTTTCTCAAGTTTTATCAATGATTGAATCCACATCTAATAATAGTCACTCTTTAGAAACCCGCACTTCATTATCCTCTTACAAACACCCTTATAACAATCTATCATCTTCTCACAAACCAAGCCCTCAACACCCACTCATACATTTAACATTCAAGTCATCAATAATAAAAAAAAATTTTTTTACAATTTCTTTCCTAAACTTCCAAGGATTGAATTAATCAGGAAAACTGCAATGTCTAATTTCATCAATAGACAACCCCAGGAATATTCACATTCTTACTGAAACAAAAAATACCCTACAATAACCTCTACCTCAAAAACTTTACAATTACACAATTATAACCAGCATACCCACTGACTCCCCTAGCAATGGAACAGGCCTACTTATTCCTAAAAATCTATCATGTCATATTTTCAAAACATATGCTGAAAATGAATTCTGGTGCACAGCTCACTTAAAGTTCAAACCCAAAATAGATGTCATCATCATAGCCCTATACTTACCGCATGACAATGACCTTAGAGATAAAGCTATATCTTCTTTAAACAATTTACTATTATTATACCCAGAAGCTGAATTTATAATCGATGGGGACTTTAATACATATCCTATAAAAGCTCCAACCATAAATGCTACAACAAACAACCAGAAAAGGAAAATCTATCGACATATAAAGAACTGATTGATATAGCAAAAGCATCAAGAAAGGATCATTTTTATACTTACTACACAACAACAAGCACATCGAGAATTGACTAGCTATGGATTACACCCAACTTAGCCAGCAAAATCCTAAGTTATAATGTCACAGAAAACAACTTCATATCAACAGATCATAAAATGATCAATGCTTGCTTCCAATGGTTTGAATACAAACCACAACGCATTTCCTTTTCAACAAGAGCTTACCAATTTAATAAAGATACAAAAGAACAGATAAAATCACTGCAAAAAATATTGATCTATACCTTCTCAATTACTCATATCCCACTTGGAACTCACTCGAAATTGCTATAAAAAAAGCACTAAACTCAAATATTCCCATACGAAAACAACAAACTCTATCAAAACCACAACAAATATCTCCAGAAATAAACAAAGCCATCAAACAAATCAAGACAGCCCTGCAAAAATCAAAAACATCAGGAAGAAATTTAAAATCTCTTCAGCAATCAGCCAAAAGTTTCTATAACAAAATCTCAATACTGCTGCCCAGCTCTAGATCTCTTTCTAAAACATTTAAAATGCTCCTAAAGGAAAAACAAATCAATGATATAATTATCAATTATTATCAGAATTATCTAACCCCAAAGAACTTTGAAATGGAGGAGGAATGGGTCTCTGAATACAATCTAAAACAAAACATACAAACTGACTTATACAATAATCTGATGGAGAAAATCACAATAAAAGAACTCATGTCAACAATTGCAACATTTTATGAAAACAAGGCCCCTAGTTCCACAAAAATTCCTTATGAACTATGGAAACATATAAGTTCAAATACACAAAAAACAGTTATAAATCTCTTCAATGACATTTTGTTCAATAGTCACCCTCCTAGACACTGGAAAAGCTCCATTATTACACTTCTACCTAAGAAGCTTATATGGTCTCATAGTTTAAGTGACACATGTCCCATCGCCCTTATAGAAACAAGTAGAAAGATTTTTACAAAAATTTTAAACACTCGACTATCAAACATTATTCTTAACAACAATATTCTTTTATTATCCAATTTTGCTGGTATAAAAAACCAAAGCACTTTGGAACCTATAGCTATCCTAAGATCCTTAATTAGCACCTTATACAACTTTAATAAGAATTATTGGCTGGCATCATTTGATATCTCAAAAGCCCACAACTTAGTCAATTTAAAAAGTTTGGAACTAGCCCTCACCCAAATAAAGACTCCAACAAATTTCAACAACCTAATCTTAAATCTTCTAAAAAAACGCCCAATTCAATTTATTGCACATTATAGCCTGACTTCCCAAATAGCTGTATCCCAATGTTTAGATTAAGGTGAAGCAATAGTCCCATTACTCTGGCCAATATTTTATTATCCTGTTATCTCCAGAATTCATAATACCCTATCACAGTCAGACAAAATATTTACATATATTGATGATGTAGCAATATTCTCTCATTCCTTAGAATCACTACAGGCGGCAACAGATATATTCACTTCATTTCTAAAAATGAACCACATAACATGTAACAAACAAAAACTGACCTGATCACCAGCCACTCCATAAAAAGTGACTAAAGAAAACAAAGCTTAATAGTAGAAGGCACACACATCATATCAAAACCTTTCAATCAGCCAATTAAATACTTAGGCATATACTTATCTGGAAAGTCTCCAGACATGGCCACGAAGAGAAACTTACTAAATAAAACAAGTAAATTTACTGAATGTATATTCCAACAAAAGCGATAGAATGGCTCTATCACCAAGTAGGTCTCACAATGGATCATTCCAGCTCAACTTGAGTATGCCCTCTAAATAACTCCTCTAAAAAAAAGCAATCTCAATAAATTACAAGTGACAACAAACAAAGCAATTAAAACAAAACTAGGCATCATTACCAACAAGATGGTCTATTCTCAAGCTGGCTTGAATTTCACTTCATTGAGCGATCGCAAAAGTCAAACTCTTATCAAGTTTCTGGTCACGACCTTAGCAAGCCCAATCACTCTTTCATTTATCAAAAAAGAAATCCACTCAATCCAAGCCAGCTCAGCCATCTGGGAATGCCCCCTATGCAAACCCTATTTATTCAAATCCTCATGGATCCCTGAAGCAGCCTTACTTTCACATAAATATCACATCGATATTTGCCCTACGGAATGCCCTTTTGAGAATGATGATGCACATCTCTCGATAGGATCACATACTAGTATCCCAAAAACAATAGCACTTCATATATATAGACAGAATATGAGATCGATCAAACAACTCTTTTGTTTCAACTCTATAATCAAAAATTCATGGAATGAATTCTACACAAAAGTGGGGAAGATCAATCCAGGACCAATACCTACATGGTTCTCAAATATAGCCAATATATCTCCATCCATTAAGGGTAGCATGCTCCCGAAACCTAATCCAACTCCATTGTTCTGGGCCTTCAACACAATAGATCAATCTCCTGAATTCATAAAATCATGCAAAAATAATAGTGACACATCAACTATTAAAGGATGTCATCATATACTTGAACCCCACACACATCAGATAGTATCATGCCACTGCCTCTCTCAACTATGCATAATTTTCCAACCTATAATTAAAGTGATATCACTATGGCATAAGAAAAAAAACAATTCCTTTCAACTGCTGAATAACTTAGAAGAAA